ATATATATATATACAATTTATCACAAGTAATAATTACGTAATGATCATTTGTTGGAATAAATCACCTGCACATTGGGTCACCATTCTTGTCGAGCATAGTACCACCCCAATGTTTCGGTACATGATCCAATTCACAATGCTGCAAAAGTTTGTTTATGCACAAATTTGTACGGATTATAATTTTCCTCATTTAAAGATAAAATTGCTCAAAATTTGTTAATTAAAAGCAATAAAATGTTAATTAAGAAATTATTTTAGTAGTGAAATTTTTGAAGGTATTTTGTTACTTATTTCTTTGCTTTTTTTTAGCTGCTAAACACTTGCTATTATGACAGCAGTTGAACTAACTTTTTGCAGTTCAGCATTATAATCATCTTTTGATGAAAATATGCGCACTTTACTTCGTGTTCTTTCCGGTAATAATGGTGCTATTGCCCGCCAAATTAAAGAAATAAACGTTGGTGCATTAACCGCCAACAATTTATCAATCCATTCAGGATAATTTGTGTAAACCATTTTCCACAAAATATGATATGGTCCAAGAAAAAATATTTTATTGAAATACTTATCCGTTTATTGGCATTGATAACAATAAAATAAAAATCATTTGATGAACTAATCATCAATAAGTCTACTTATAGCCCTTACTTCAATTAATACATTGCAATAAAAAATGAAATAAAAAATAGTATGAAACCTTACCTGTTGCTATGTTTAACAGTTTAGGATCCAGTTTTAATCCTTCTAAATCCAAAATATAAATCACAGAGCACTAAAATCAATTTATGAAGCAAAGCACTGTTTTGTTTGCAAAAAAAAGAGTGTTGCAATTAATTCAGTACTTAAAAATGTACTGTATTTAAACTGCAAAATTTGGTACTTAAATCAGAACAATATTTATTTGATAGTGCATCGTGAAATGGTATTGTGCAAGAAAAATAATGTGTAAATAACGATTTTTTTTTGTTGACAGAATATTGTTTTACAACAAGGTAAAGGAAAGATTGATGACAGAAGAATATGATAAAAATAAAATTTTATTTAAAAATAAAGATTGCTGAAAATAAAATAAAATTTGTATGCTAAATTATAAAGTTCAGGAACATTGGTACTATGAATTACAAACACATTATTCAGAAAAGTGTATATTATTATTATTATTACTATTATTATTGTTATTATTATTATCAACAAGATGATAATATTATCAACATGCATCTATCTATCTAATTAAATATTTACAATTTTGGTTAGATAAAAAACACCTATCCAACGGTGTTTTGCATTGTTTCTTGCTTTGGAAGAGAATAAATTAAATTTTGCATACTTTTTCAGTGTTTTTTGCAATGAAGGAGAAAATGAATTGTAAAATGCACGTGTACTGTCAAAAATAACATGCGAGTTCTAAGTGAAAAAGGACATTTTTTTTAAATTGCAAAGATGATTTAATTTTTAAAATAAATTTATGAATAAAAATTATGAAAAAGAGGCCAAAAAAAATATTGAAATTATTTTTGTAAAAGCAATTACCAAAGTAAATATATATATATATATATATATATGTACCTGTGATCCAGTTTTGCGCTCAATAGCATTAATTTCTTTTAGCATCGTTTCCTGGAATTTTAATCGCTGCGTAAGGAACGCATGAAGTTGAAATGTTTTCAATATACCGTGTAAATCAATGCGACCTGCATTTTCAACCACCAACAGGTGATTATTTTTGCCGGTTTCACCTAAAACAATACTATACTGGATATTTATCAAAATTGCAAAAAAGCAAAGATTGAAATGTGAGAACATGGGAAAAACACATATATTGATATATTTAAAGAATTATTTTGCTATTCAAATTGTGGTAGTACAAAAGAAAAACAGACTAAAATTAGTGCTTGAAAAGATAAGTTTGAGTAGATATGTGCTCAATCAGTCAGAATTCATTTTAGCAGCTATAAAAGACTAACCTACAAGACCAATGGGAAAGTACTGCTTCATCAGCTTATTATCTTCAAGTTTTCCAATGTGATCCAAATCATAGAATCGTCGAAATTTCAGATGCATTGTTAGATAATGTAGAGATTCGTCAAGATTATAATTGTATCCCTTTAGAGTAACATTTAACTTTACTATTATTTCAATTTTCCAAATTTTCTCAAAAGAATGCTAAGCAAAAATTACAAAGCTAAATGGTTTACCTGTGCCCATCGGAGCAAATTGAAGTCTGTGTCATATTCTACACTTATTAATTCTTTTGTCTAAAAAAGTCCAAATATATGTTTAGCGCATGATTTTTTGATTTATGCAAATTTGTTTTCCACGAAAATCAATCATATGACTTTTCATTATTTAATGGCAGACATAAACATACCTTTGTCCGAAGAAAGTCAATTGCTTTAATGTCTTGTTCAGTTAACTTTGGAGAAACCATTCACAATAACTGAAGTAATAAATATATTTGTTACTTTCTGTAATGCATAACTCTTTACAAACTAAGAAAGTATTTCCATTCGCCTGAATATTCAAACTGTATGACAGTTGTGGCTACAATGATTGCAATGATGTTAGTAATGTAAAATTAATTATTTGATTGACTGCTTGAAACTGGGATGGCTTTCAGCTCTTTTCGCTATTACCAGGTGATTTTAGCAAAAATCATTGACAATTAAGTTTCATCCATAGCTTTCAGAAAAGCTTCACAGCAATTTAAAATTTGAAATTGATCAGTACTCTTTTGTTTTTAAGCAGAATCATATTTAAAGTTGTTTCAAAAGTTATGAAATTGAATAGCAATCAGTACATTGATTGTTGCTTGATTAGTAATAGCCAACTTATTGAGCACTATTTGAACAAACAGAACAGTGTTTGATTGCCTTAAACAGTCAAATCATTCAGCTAAATATTGTTTTTGCTAAAATTTTTTTTAATTTTCTAGTTTTTTTTTTTGGCTTTTATAATGAAAGTATAGTTTAGAATATAGATAGATTTTATGGTTTACGACATTGCCTAAAAAGCTAACACAATTTCTAATAATAACTGAATTTGTGTAACTGTTTTGTTGAGAGATAAGATTGGAAAAAAACGGCTCTAATATTATTTTAATTTTGCATGTTTGTTTTTTGTGCAATGAGATAATTCATTTTGTAGATAACAAAATTTGAAGTTGCACAAAAATGATTTGAGCAGTCATTTTTGGAATAATCATTGAGAAAACGGAACTAAGATGACGTTAAGATATATTTTCAATTTTTTTAAGCAATCAAACCATAAATGCTTTTTAAGTAAGCAGTTTTTGAAGATATATGCTAAGAACAAGTTCATTAAACTTGCATTTCAGTAATAATAAATGTAATAACAAGTCGAAAAAATTGTTAGCTTTGATGTAATTGATATTAAAGACCTTTTTTTTGAGTATTTAGTATAGCATTGCTACCGTTTATAGCAGGAAAAAAGTATTAGTTGTTAACAATTGCAGAATTTTCAATCACTGCTTGTTTACATGAGATCGTAGAAGAAAGAAGCGCTCAAAATGTTTGTAAATTACTGAAATTTTTCAAACAACTTTGACATTTTATTAAAGCACAAATTAACGATGCAAATTTATATTAATCGAAAAATAACTAACTCAACGAGGAATTTTGCTTTGCTCTGAAGAAATATATATGCTTTAGCTTTTGTAGCAGTATTTCACGTGATAAGCTCTTTTTGAGAAGATACAAGTCAAATGAAAGTGTTTTGTGTGAATACAAAATAATAACAATTGTTCTGGTAGCAATAGTAATCATTACTAACAGGAATAATTTAATTTCACATGTTTATGATTTTGAAACAGAAAGTAAATAAAATTTAAGTTATAAGATGAATGGAAAAAACAAACAGTAAATGGAAGCATATCATTTCAAATACATTCTAACATTCTAAACCATGACTTTAGCAGTAAAAAAGAAACTAAAGCAAGGAAACCAGAAAATTAAACTCAGTGCACATATAATATTTAGTAATTATATAATAATAATAATAATAATAACAATAATAATAATAACAATAATAATA